TAACTGCATATGCTTTTACTTAATTGTATGACTGTCTTGGGCATAAATGGAAAATAAAAATGCTATGTTCATAAATCACACCCCTCTTACTAGAATCTCTCTTTTGTTGAAACCACTTCTCTCACATTTAAAAAATGTAACCGCACATTTTAACTGCACGATCTCTTTTGCTTTTTTCTTCGTGTACCCACCAATGATAACAAATAGAAGTTCACCACTAGCCCGTAGAAGGAGATTATTAGATTAAAAAGTTGCATACGCAGAAGAACCAAGTTAAGACTTTTTGGTCCTGTGAAAGTTACTTTTCTTTCTTCTCTCAATCTTCTGTTGTTATTTTAAGTTTTTTCTTCTTTTCTTGACATAAGTGATTGCATTTTAATTATTTTTTTCAATACTATAAACTAAAATTTGAAGTACTGTCGACATTTTTTGTTTTTGTTGTGTTTGTGTGTGATTTTTTTATTTTTTCATTTTTGGCTTCATATGTCCCATTTGATCTTAAATTCAATGGGTTTTACTTGAGATTTTGCATGACCGTAGATTCTAAACAAATTTTTTATAATTTTCATAGTGGTTTTTTTTTATTAATGGTGGTTTTTCTTACTTAATTGTGATTTCCAATTGTTATATTTATGAACTATTCCTATATATGTCAGGAGGTTTTTTTATCAATGGTAGTTGGTTAGTTTTTATGCTTATATTGATCTCTCAAGGTAACCGAAAGGATATTTGTCAGGAGGTGAAACAAAACGTGAAACCAACAATTAAGAGCACAAATGCACCACTTTTACCACGTTACTGTTTTCAATTTTGGTTCCACTTTTTTAAATCACTTTACCCCAACTCAACCTTCTCTAATAAAAAATAACAATACAAGGAATACAAGTAAAAAATTCATACGTTCATTTCTTACTCTATAAATTTCACACTTTATGTAAAAGCACTAACCACCGTTTTCTCCTTTGATTTCCTTTTTTTTAATTTATCTTTATTTTCTTTTTCTTACTCTATGAATTTCACACTTTATGTAAAAGCACTAACCACCCTTTTCTCCTTTGATTTCCTTTTTTTAATTTATCTTTATTTTCTTTGATGGTTGGCATATAATAGGTTTTACTTGAATGGAAGCAAGTAGCAACCCTCAGGAGGCCAAAACAAATATTTGTGTTCTATTTTTTTTTTGTGTCAAAAATGTAAAAAGATAAAAAAAAACAAAAAGAAGATTCAAAATTAATCCATTGAAATTTCTATTCTTTATGATATTATTTTCTTTACTTTTAAATTTTTTTAAATATTTATTGTTTAGTTTTAGTTTTTTTGCAGATTCAAATTTAACTCACAAAGATAAATCAACATTCTTTTATTAAGTAAGTGAGTTGTTCTTTCATATATATATATAACATATACAATTAATAGTCATATATATTTAATTGTGTTTTAGTCATCAACATTTCTTTTATTTCAATCTTTTTTTTCTTCTTAGTTTGAGTGTTAGAGATAGATATGTGTTGGAGATTTAGTTAATGTGTACCGTTAATAGAAAATGCTCCCTCGAAAGGTATGTCAAACTACTTCCCATTTATTGCCTTTCCATGTACATTTTGGTGTGCTTTTCAATTTTGGATTCTTCCATTTGATTACTACTTAACTGTGAAGAGTTAATATTTTTAATTTCTTCTCAACATTTTGATTGTTATAGTTGTTTTAAAAGTATAAAATCAGATAAAACACTTTAATTCCTTTTGACATTACATTTTTATTGCTAAGTTTGGTTGAATGATCAATACAAAAGTAAAGTCATTATGACATTACATTCTTATTGCTGAGTTAAAATAAAATAAAATAATATAGTAGTTTGACCATTTATTTAAAATTGATTAATAGTGGTTATTATATTTATTTATTTATTTATTTTCTTACTAATTAGGTGTATAATTGTCCATAAATTGTAAAAACTAAAAACAATTACTAGAATAAGTATTTTTTTCTTCATATATTAGTATATATTTATCAACTTTTGAACAAATGCTTTTCGATCAAAAAGATATTTAGATTTAATATTTATGAAATATATCTATCAGTTGAAAGATTACAAATTCACTTACTAAATCGTCATCAAGTGTGATTTTATAAGCATCAAAGATTTAGTTCTCTTCGCTTCAAATTATTTTTTAACAAAGTTCATGTTTATACCTTTTTTTATTATTATTTAAGTCTTTCTATTTTTTGAGTCAAAATGCATTTTAAAACTTATTTATTTAATAGATAGATTTCAAAATTCCAATATCTATAGCTAAACCTAAATCGAATACAAACTCTTTGGTCTCCACTAATGTCTATTCAATTTTACCCATTAAAATTCAAGTTTACTCAACTTCTTAATAATACAAATTTAAGATATCTTCATTTTCTTTTTTAAAATTTATTTAAAATTATAAAAAATCATTTTAAAACTTAGAATCTTAATACATTTAAAAATTTAATTTAATCATATAATCTTATTTCAATAAAAATAAAAATTTAGAATATATCTATTTTTTTTATTTTGAACTTTATTTTTTTTAATAGTTTTATAATTAAATAAATTATTTTTTATCCTTTATTCTCTATTTTATACCTTTTTTTTTGTTTTTTCTTTACATAAGTTGAACCTAACACATGCAATGTCAAGTTATATATATGCTAGAACTAGATTTTTATTATTAATTTTAATTGATACATACATCATGAATATTATATGGTAGAATTTAAAATACAAATGTCAAGTTTTTGTTGTGTTTGTATTTTTTCCTTGCATTTTTGGCTTCAAAAACATACTCATATCAACCTAACCCATGATACAAAGAAAGTAGCGTGATAAGTGAACTTCATTTCAAAAAATCTGTTATGATTTTTCCATATTCATTTATGATATTTGTCTCATATTATTCATTTTTTAACTATTTATTTATTGATATAGTTGATTTTTAGTTTCTATATTACATTTTTTATTTAAATTGTTTTTCATGATATTAATTCTTGGAAATAGGATTTTATTGGAAGTTTAGAGAAGAAATATATAGTCATTTTGTTCAATGTTGCTTCTTTGATGGCTCTGGGTATGTATTCTATCATTTTCTTTCTTTCTTTATATTCTTTCTATTGGACTAAATTAAGTGCATGTTTAACTCTTTTTATAATTTTTAATATTCTATATGGTGGTAGACATACATTATTTGTTTACCAATGTTTTGAAATTTATATTGTATTTTAGTATTTATAACATGCATCTATCTATAACATCCGTAATCTATAATTTATCATCTTTAATTTACAATCTATAATCCATAATCTATAATTTATAATATATAACAATACATATATTAATCCTTTTGATCTCCACATTTAATTTTCTATTTTACCCTTAAAACATGTGATTATTCTACATAATCTATAACTTCTATAATTTATATATAACTTAAAATTAAGACAAAAGGAAATAAAAAGGTATTGGTCTCCATTTTTCTTTATCCTATTTTAATTCTTATTGGTCGTAACTCTCTTTTAATTTAAAATAATAACTATTTTCTTTTGAAACAATAACTATTTTCTTTTAAAACAATAACTGTTGAACATACCTATGCTTTTATCTATTTTTATCTTTTCACCTGTTTCGTACATTGTTTTATATTATCACCCTCTACGATTTTTTCATCCCAATCGATTCTCAATTTTCCCTATATTTCAAACTCAATCACACTATATCTTGGTATGATTCATATTTTGAAGCAAGTTGTAATATATTTTAACTCATCTTCTTTAATGTTCCAATATTTTTTTTAATGAATTTCTTTGTTTCTTTTTCTATTGAAATTTTAGTATATATTAAAACATGGTGAAGAACAATAATACTTTGATTGTGATAACTACATCATTAAGAAGTATTTTTTTCTAAATCATCTTCAATTAAATATATGTTAGAAATTATAATTTGTGAAATTGTAGGTATGTATGTCAAAATGAAATTTGAATTTGTGGAGTAAATGACAATAATTTAGTTTCAATTTTGATTTTCATATTTTTTTTAATGTTTTGCTTGCATTTGCATCATCAAAATTTTACAATACGATTGAGATCCAATACTCTGTGGCCCCTTTTCCTTCTACTAAAATAATTCCTCCATTATTTTCTCTGCTTTTTCTACCATTAATATTTTTTATTATTTTTTGGCATATAAAAAGTATTTTAAATCAAAGTCACCCTCGAGAATATCTTCATGTTTCACGTTAAATTTCAAAACTTTCCTTCAATTTCATTTAAAAAATAAAAAAATGTGCTTCATTAATGAATAATGATCAAAATAATCACATAAATTATGTAAAATTATTTATATGATTATATACCAACAAATAAATTCATTCAATCCATCAGTTATTTTAAATTTGAATATAAAATACATATAGAGGCAGACCCCTCTAGTATATATAAAGACGATAGCATAATTTGGTGTCCGCATTTTTTAAATTGATTACTCTTACAAACACAAAACTTAAACTTAAGATTTAGATTTAAGGACCAAATATATCACTAATTAATCTAACAAATATTAATAATTTTTAAATATTTTTATTAAATAAAATATAAAAACGTAAATTACCTCAACCTCACTAATATAAATAAGTACCATTAGTTTCATTTTTTTTAATAATTATACGCTTATAAATATGCAACCACACCACACAAAATTGGAACTACCCATTTATATTACTTTTTAAATTTTTAATAGAGGCAGCTGGTATCTTAGATGACTGTTACTTTTTGTCTTTCTTTGTTTTTTTTCATCTCAAAACTGTATATATCTTTTCTTATTTTATATATATTTTTAAATAAATACCCACTAGTTTATTTATTTTGTATATATAATAATAAAATACGTATATCCAATATACTAATAGTAATATTTACTCAATGTCATTACTATTATTTTTTTTTTTTTGAAATTCCTGGAATTTTCATTTTCTTTTTCCTTGGTTGATGGTGCCTCGATCTATATCCCTTTGTCGTTTCATTTCCTTCATCAATCCTCCTCTGCTGCCTTTCCACTTTCCCCGAACAGATCGTGTGTTCCCCGGCGACGATTCTAGAACCTTCATGACTCTTCCCACAGCCACACGCCTCTCCCTCTTCATGGGGCAAAGCCCACTCAACCACAACCCCCAACATGCCTGAACTCCGCACCAGAATAAAACACCCAACACCAACGTTCCATGCCCCAAGCTCAAGCCCAAGCCCAAGCCCAAACACCCTACCCCGCCAGGGGAGAACGAAAAGAGCTTCCGCTAACACCAGGAGGAACAATCGGAACACGCTCAAACGTTGTGGAATCGGTAACCGCGAATTAGAAGAGAAACCACAACCACAACGACGACAACAACAACAACAAGAAGTTCCTCTGGTTAGGGTTTCCGAGGAGGAAGAGAAAGCGATGGATGATGAGTACGACAGCGGCGGGGGCCGGAGCGGCGACAAGGCTCC